CAGAATTTTTTAAATACACGCAAGCATTCTTAATTGGATAAACTATTCTATAATTTGTCTTACAAACAAAATAAACAAAAATAATGTTAAATCACATTAAACAAAAATAAAATACTTAGAAGTTGTTTCTTTTCAAATTTGTCATCTTAATGAAATACCAAGAAAGAATCGAGGCGTCGGCGTCTGTTCATTTCAATACCGGGTAAATTAAGTTAGACTTGTCGTATATCACTTCAAATTTTGAAAAAATATTTTAGGTATAATACCTAAAATATTTTTTAATATTAGAACTTGCAATATGTTCTTTACACTCTAACTCTAGAGATATAATTCTTTATTTAAGAAAGAGCCAATTATGCCTAATATTAAACAGAATTGGATCACCAGTCAGGAAAGGTCAGAGTTTGCGATAAAGGTCAAAAAATTACATTTGTAGATTGCGGTTAAGTGGATTCTGAAATGATTCTTTTTTGTATGTGAAATTATTGATAGCTAATTTTTTTTTCAAAATTTCTGTCTACGTATATGAAAGAAAGTTACACTATAATATTATAGTTATCTTAGTTTGTTTACTATATGAAACATTCGACCATTTATTAAGTCTTTGGTAGAGAGTGGCAGTTTGTCACGATGTCACAGCAACCGCCGTTGGCTATATAGCGTTCACTCTTATCCTTCGCCAAATGGACCGGGAAGTTAGTTTTTGCCGCTAAAGCTCCAGATCAAACTAACGGTTGGTGACCGGGTTTTTCGACCGGATAAATAGTTGTACTTAATAAGACTGATGATAAAATTAGGCCATTATTATTTTATGGGAGACTCCTTGTGATGTTTTTATTAATAAAAAGTGTCATTATCCGTCAATAATTCAAATTACTTAATTTAAACCAAGTAGGCTTAAATTAAGTAGTAAGTTTAAATTATTGGCTGTCTAAATTAAGAGAATAACAAAAAGAAAAATAACGTCTAGTTGAGAGGTGATGTCTTATTTTGGTCAGATAACTAATGAAAACGGTAGATATTAAAATCCTTCGTTTTATAATAAGGTGATATAAGTTTCGCAAAGTTGAAGTCGCGTAACTTCAGAACTTGCAAACATAAAATATTAGCTGTTAGCATAAAATATTTCCTGTGACTTCATTCGAGTAAATATAGCTCCAATGTCACCCGCGTATGATGTAGTTTATTTTTTAAAATCTAATTGATTCCTCTTTATAATATTAGTATAGACTATAGAATTGTGTAATATACACAAAGTTTACAGTGATGTAAGCGGAATTTAGAATTATTACTTCTAAACATAAAAACATAAAAGTGTTTTTCCTTTACCGGGTTTTTATACTGAATTATATGATGTTGAATTCTATTTAACCTTTTAGGCTTCGGAATAAATCAGTATTAATCGGATTTTGGAGCTTTATTCAAGACAGATACTCACAATATCAATAATAAAATGTATAAAAGTATTTGTGAATGTCGAGGTTTTTTTTGAGGATATCTTTGGAAATACCTTTTATTCGTTGTCGATATTTCTGAGAATATTTAAGGGAAAAATGTTTCATGAACGACTTCCTGATCACAAGTTCAATAATGTGCTGAGATTTCAATGCAAACAAATAAATAATCAAATATTTCCCCTTATTATATTATTATAGTACATAGACTAGCGCTCCGCTAGCGGCTTCGCCCGCTTGGTCCTGTATTATACATAAAAAAACATTACTCATGATTAGCGAAAACCAAATGTATGTAGTGAAAAACTTATGGGCGTCTGGGCAATGTTTGTAATATCTTTGTTATTTGTGCGTTTATGTTTATATTTGTTATAATGAAAGTTCTTACGTTTTATGTAATAAAATAAAAACGTTTTATATAATAAATGATACATTCACTCATTCATGCAACTATTTTAGTAAAATGTGATATATTTTCACTAGTTTTTAAAGTTTTTAAAGCATATTATTTCCCAAATTAGCGTAACAAAATTTATTTTGTGAAAATGCTTCATAAATTCTAAATTCAAAACAAAATTTAATTTCTGAGAACAGAAACCTATATTATCATTTGTAGGACACAACTCTATTGGACTATAAATGAAATACCACTGAAAATATTAAAAAAAACTAGTATCAAAATGGGTTCTGAAAGCCGTTAAAAACGTTTAAATATATTTATTCTGTATACCGGTGGCCTAATTGACTTATTTCAAATTCTATCACAATTACTTTGAAATTTATTTTTGAAAGATATTCACAAATTTCACGCTAAAACTATATATTTGATATGTAATAGAAATTGCGATCGCAACGTTTTTTTTAAGATTTTGAATGAACGATAACATTTGAGGGTAATCGGAATTGTCTAAGCAAAGGGATAGTTACAAATATGAAAGCTTTTAGGAAAAGCCAAACGTAATGAATTGTCTATGACATTTATATAATTCAAATCATCATTCGTTCCAAAAGTGATTGTGTCTTTATAAGTTACATGATTCCATAAATCACTGTCACAACCGTTATACGTTTGAAATGGATTGTGATAGATTTTAAAATACACAATTACGTCACAGATACGCACACACGCTTGTAATTGCCAGGTTTGAAGCACACATAAGTATATATATCGTGCACACTACAATCTATAAATTGCGATTGAGTGGTTGAAATATTAACGGCATGTGAGAGAAATAGCCGTAACAGAAACAGATTGTGTTAATCTGTTTCTGTTAATTAGTTTATGAGCTATCACTATTTCGGAATTTAATTTGCTGGTTTCATTCATGGTGCATGGATATTTGTGCGGGAATTTTTGGAAGTGAACAAATTATCTGTCTTTGTTAATGTTAAATGTTCATTGGTATGTTTAGCGATAAAAAAATCTTGAATTGAGAATTTAATTTGATTAGGTCGATTAGATATTATATGTCACTTATCGCACTATTTCGCCCGCGTAAATTATAAACTGTTCTGAACTTATTATTCTCAATAACTAAAGTTTTTTACGTTTCACAAGTCAAAAAGTCCTAGTTTTATCAAACAGCTAACAACTCATCATTAAAAAACTAAAATCGGAAACGAAAACCTATTTTAGTGACGTTGAAATACATTCTGATATGTGCGTAACTTAAAATTCTCAATTCAGAAACCGGGTGTTTGTAACGTTTGTTATTTAATTTCTTTAAAAATCAATTTTATTATTTTAACATTTCTATTTTAATTTGTAAAGTGAATTCTTTATAACTCAAAAAAAGTATTAACAAATTCAACTTCTATATCTCCGGACTTACCCCGTTTGAAATGCTGTATTGTTGGCATCATATTAAAACCTTAAATTCAAGTTCTCCTTGGTTTTATTTAATTCTAGGACAATATTACACTGACACTGACTTTAAATAGGTATCAATGACTTAATAAAAGCTTCTTTAATTTAGCTTTGAATTTGTTATTCGCGTTGGGTGAGTAACAAATTACTTTTACATTGTTGCTTCATATAACAGTAGAAACATAGTTAATTTATATTAATTTTGAATTTTCAGAGAAAAATTCAGCGTATCTATATTTCACAAAATTATTGTTGATGTTATATCCTTCTTGTGTATTAACTTATTAGCTTTATCTGTGTGAATTCCGTGAATATTTGAGTAGTACCGCTAATTCATTATCCGTTGTAACTTCAGCAAACGTTTTTCTGGAAATTATTATATCTCATCAAGGAATTACTTAACTAAGAGTAAGCGATTTGGTAACAGGTTACCCAATTAGTGATGATATGAAATTTTAATGGCTTTATGTAGGTAAATATAAGCCTAACAGTTTAACTTCAGCACAGCAAGCTTATTCTATACCAATGTTGCCATCAGGTTTGTTTGACATACCTGTCTGGGGGTATGTATTTATAATAGGTAGGTCAAAATGGAGAAGAACGACGCGGGAAGTGGTCTTCTGGCTGTCTCTGTGCATCGCTTCTAAGGAGGTTTATCGTTAGGTTTTAGTGGGTATGCCCCTGCTATTCAATTAGCCCAATTGTGGGGTGCCACAGGGGAAAAACTCACATAACCCGTGCTACTGGGGAGCGGGTATGCATATAAATTTCCTAGCGCCAACAAAAAAAGGTTTGTTTAACATCGCATTACAATTAAATTAGTACCTCCGTTCTATGAAGCATAGGAATACGATGTTTTTGGTTGAAATGTATGTTACGAGGCATAGATGAAGCCTGCGAACTGATCATTCTACCCTAATCTAACCAAACGTTTTTCGTAGTGTTTTTAAATATTTATCCACCAAGTCGAGCAAATAGTAAAAAAGGCATGGCTGTACCATCCTTTTCTCGGAAACTTGGTTATGGAGTAAACTAAAAGCCTAAATTTTCATTCACCAAGAGGGTATCACAAAATGAGGCAAATTTTCAAATTATATTAAATTTTAACGACTACTTTCAGAAATATTGCAATTCAAAATACCATAATTTTGTTACTGACTGGGCTTCGTTAATATATCCATAGGTATAATAATCGATACATAAGAGATAAGAATTAAGTTGATTCTACAGTATTTACATGTGGTCTTTCGATGTGGCACTTTCGAGAACGACATACCTACATTGTTTATATCTAATAAATATCAACTTTGGCTCTATTCTGAATATAATAGACTTATTGTAGATGCACTCACCGAGCAGATTTATCATGTGATTTATCGAAAACCAATACATTAACGCACTTTTAGAAAGTCCACAGAGACAGAGAGTTAGTGATTTTTGAAGCCAGTGACGCTCAAGATTTAATGCTCTAAAAAAAAGAAGAACTACCTACAAAAAGAAATGAGATCCGTGTATAAAACACAAAACAACTTTAACCAAGTCGATTAATTCAGTGTACCTATTGTTCTGTGAGAGCAGCTATCCAATCTTGACATAGATTTAAGAACACTTGGCATACGCATAGGTATGGAAAAAGAACTTTACATAAAACAATCTATCTGAAGTTATTGTCTCTGTTCTTTGTTGGTTTAGAAGTACTTAGGTGATTATTAGGTGTAATTACGTTTATTAAGTAATCCTAAATCTATGACAAGGTTGGATAAACGCTCTTACAGAAAAATAGGTTCTGTATTAATCGACTTGGTTTACGTTGATTTCATAAAATTTTACGGTAGAAATGTTTGTTGTGAAACTTGTGCATTTTTGTACATGTTGTGTTTGACGAGATATTGTTTTCCAAATATTCGACTGGTTGAAAAAATAAATATAATGGAAAATTTTTCCATTGCACTTCAAAACTTTAAGTACTGCGTATTATTAAATAAAACTTCTTTTAAACGGTTTTGTGGCGTGTTTCGCGTATATAAAAAACTGTTTAAAAGTAGTTTTATTCAGTGAGCAATGCGCGTGAAAATATAATAAACCACTTATGCGAGTTATGTTCACCAACTGAAATTAGTTATGATATTCTTAGCTAGTTGGCTTAATTAAAACTACAATGGCTAAAGAGAATTCATAATTTATTTTCTAGACAGGTATTCGTATTCACATCCATCATATACAAAAGTAAAGGGGTGTAAATATATCTCTGAAAAATGTAACAAGGTAACATAATGTATCGAGCTATTCGAGGTCAGTCGGGTAGGGGTGGGGAACAGGGGATGAGCTACGTGCTACGGGGGTGCACGACGACGACGCGTCCGTCGTCCACATAGCAGCCGCTGAAATGCATGCCGAAATTCAGGACTGAACACCGTGTAGATCACAGGGTTCAACGCAGAGTTGAAATAACCTAGCCATAGCGACAATGATGTCAGCACAGGGCTCACCTCGCAATCGCACGTGGGTACTAATATCGCCAACACGAAAAACGGAAGCCAGCACGCTACGAACGCACCGGTTATTATTGCCAATGTTTTAGCTGCCTTTCTTTCCCTCTTGGAGTCTGCAGCTTCTTTGGGTTTACGCCGTACTAGTGTGGGGTAGTACGCAGCGGCGACGGCGCCGTAACCTGTCGTCGGAGGGTCCGCCTCGAGGCCGTTTGCACAGGATTGTTTCTCTGGGCTGGTATTGTTCGATGAGACGTTTGTGAAGCCTGTGGTAGTAGTTTCCGAGATAGTGGGCAGCGGACGGCCGATGACTGCGACAACAGCGGCCGCGATACCTCCGCTGCCACCCGCAGCGACAAGCGCACCGCCAGATGGCACAGGTGGGGGCCCCACTCCTCCACGTGCCGTAGCCCCCCGCCGCCGACGTATTCTTTTCCTAGCGGTTTGGTATATCCGCCAGTACAGTATAAGGATTATTAGCACTGGCACGTAAAACGAAGAAGCTGTCGCGAATATCTGGTAGCCGACGTCTTGACTGACGACACACCGCAGGTCCTCAGAGACTCGTCGGTTCCAATCTGGGTCCTTCCAGCCCAATAAAGGGGCAATGCACACGAGAAAGCTGACGATCCACACACATGCTATCATTACTCCCACTCGTCCTGCTGTCCTTGCATGGATGTAGTCGATGTTCGTTACGGCTCGGTACCTTAAAATAATGAATAAATACATTTATAAATTTTTGAAATGGTTCATAATTATTAATAAAAGTTAGGAAATAAATACATTAGCGGTGAGTAGCTCGGTGGCGTAGTGGATAAGCGCCGCGGCCCGCGATCGTAGTCGTTAAGCAACTTTCGCAAGGGTCGGTCACGGGATGGGTGACCAAAAAATTATTATCTCGAGCTACTCCGTGCTTCGGAAGGCACGTTAAGCCGTTGGTCCCGGCTGCATTTGCAGTCGTCAATACCCTCCAATCCGCATTGGGCCAGCGTGGAGGGTCATGGCCCATCCTCCTTAACCATCCATTAGGAAGGCCTGAGCCCTTGCAGTGAGGACGTAAAAGGGCTGGTGGTGTGTGTGTGTAGGAAATAAAGATATTATTGACATCCTAACGATAATACTAAGCTAGTTAAAATAAAATTACATTTTATGACATTATTTATATCTCGTCAAGGTAATTTAATTAGTTTACACAGGTCACTAATAGATGGCGTAGCTTATTTTCTACAACTCTGTATAGAATTTACCTATCAAGAGCGATCGCGACTAAATGTAGAATTGAAGCTGTGCAGCAGAGTACGTCGCCCGAAGTCCACATGTCGCACAATTCGGGGCCCAGCGTCCAGCGCTGCGCCACCTCGTACACGGCGCCTAACGGCATCACCAGGCACGCCACCAGCAGATCCGCCACGGCCAGCGATAGGATCAACTGGTTAGCGGCACTACGGAGATGTCGCTCCAGTAGTATTGCCGCTATTACGAATACATTACCTAGACGAACAATGAATCAAAATTATTATTATCATTTGAAAAGTTGACTGCACTAATATTAGTATAATGTAATATAATCCAATATCTTATGTAATTTAATTGAAAATACAAAACAAAGTATTTTGACAGGATAAAATGATAGGCTACCATATGATGTCAAATACAAATAGCGGTTGATTTAATCCTAATGCACTGAGGGTTTAACCTGACATGCCGTGACATGGTATAGATTAAATATATGTAGCTTATAGGAGAATTGCTATGCTTTTTATTTTTCATCATAAATTGCCTTCGGGAGATTGTTGTTGGGATCAAAAGCCCAAAATTTAATATATTTGAATTTTTCAATAATATTAAGTACATTAGTAACCATAATACAACATGGATCCTTTACAATAATAAATAAGCACAAAGGGCACGGCAACAAAATAAGATAAGTGTATATATTTGAGATAAGGAAGGGAAGTAGCTTTAGAGTCGATTTCATATGTGTATTGTAAGATATTCAAGTTACAGTTGTGAGAAGTATTTGAATGCCCTTTTATATGACTTGAATGAGTATCGAGGGAGAGTTTTCTTGTTATGTGATTCGAATAGCGACTGAAAGTAGGTCGAAAAAGGGCGAGTCTTTTTTTAAAAGATGACATCATCTCCAAAGACCATTGAAACGATAGCAAAAGATGTTTCTTATGAAAATAATATGTGCATACGATTATTTATCACTCTTTTAAGTCTTACTAATAAGCAATGTTATATGGATTGTATAGTACTACAGTGTTTTTATCACTAAAACTAAAAGTCAGGTTGAAATAATGAAAACAGAATTATAAGTAACTAAAAAACTGTTGTATGTTTCTTATTAGTAGGGGTATATATGAAAATATTTGTTTGTGTATTAATACTAATATATTTTTTATAAAATGGTAAAGATTCTGTTTGTTTTAAAGGGTGTAATCTTCGGAGAAACTGATCAGATCATTAAAATCACCTACTGGATGCTACGTCATGCATGATTGAAATAGGCTATAATTTAAGTGGGTGAAGTAGCGGGAAAATTTTAAATATATTCTTACTCACATATGATGTAACTTCATTGTAGAAAGAATTTTTGAATCGGTTTAGTAGTTTCGAAGCATCGGAGTCAAATCTTTCCTTTTTATAATGAAAGTAGTTATTCATACAGTACATTTTTATTTATATCCGTAAAGAATCACAGTGTCGCGTCAAAAGCTTAAAAACAAAGTCTTATATATCGTCGTAATTCATGGTCACTACAAAGATTTTACAAAGCGATAAGGAAATTGCTAAGAGTAATTTCATATTTATAGTTATTTCTTTTTTACGTATACAATACTATTTTCACATCGAGCGTAATTTTACTGACCATTACTTGAGCCATAATGTATTTTATATTACCACTATAGAAACAAATAGTCGTCACTATTATACAATGGTGTAATCCATACTGTTTACATTATGATTCGAGTAACAGATTTTAACTGGAACGTTTGGCATACACCAACCGAATATATTCGTTCGACGAGATTTAATAATCTTTTTCTCGTAAAAAAATTCACACTTCGTGTGACACACGCAGGGGAAATGCAACCTTAAGCCTCTTCTTTCTTTCTGTTATTTTGTTGAATTGGTGTTATTTCTTTACTTTTCTTTAGGGTCGCCTTGCAGAGATTGTTACCTCATCAATAAAGCCGCCGTTTGTGATTTTGTAATCAATTGTACAAGGTACATAACCTTGTTATGTTTAAAAAAAAATTAATATTGCAATAAATAATATTAATTTATGAATGATTTCTCGTCGTTACCCGACTCTAGTAAAGTAATGAGTTAGTGCGTAAATACTTAAATATCAGACAACATCACATACGTTATATAGATTTTCTGATAAGTAGGCAAAGCACAAGTATTATGGAGTATCTGAATCAACGAAGGTAACAAACAACCAGATCCGAGACAATATCATCATCAACATTATGGTACAATATAGAGACAATATAGAAAAGTCATTTTCTACATTGATGACCGAAAATCGAAACTCAGAGACGACACCTTGAAACGTAGCTCCTGTCGATTTGCTTCAACCAAAATATTCTTCTGGCGTCTAATATTCTTTTGTACGTACCAACTACAGTTGCGAGGATAAGTAAGCCGAGAACAACGGCTTTGCCAGCAGCTCGGATGAGCGCAGAGGGGGTATCGAAGGGCGCGGACGCTCCCCAGGTTGCGTTAGGCACTGCGGTGGCGTTCCAACTGGGCAGCTCCCATTCGGTTGAGTTCCAGGTGAGATTGTGGGGGAGACCGACGTACAGCGCCTCCCATTCGAGCAGCTCATCGCGGTCGTCCGCGCCCTCCATGCCCTCTCACCGCAACTCCACACCAACTAATAACAATAAAACATCATGGGGATATTGACGCCCTCATCACTGCGACACAAGCCATTAGACGATCAATTTGGATCGTGATCAGATTAAAGTTGCGAATTCATAACAAAAATCATATTATCTGCATAATATAATATGTGATAGATTCCAATCTGACATCAGTCGACCCATTACACGATCAACTTCGATCTGATCAAGATCTCGGATTGATTTGACACCAGATCGTCTAACGGCCCGGATAGATGGAGACACATAGATAGAATAAACCTGTCCAGTGGATAGATGATGGTTTTGGGCTGTCTGGCGTTATAGAAAAGATTAATAAAACATATTGGGAATATATATATTTTTTAAACAGATTCATTTATATTTAATGCAGGTAAAGGAGACATATAAAAATGAAATCTTGAATTTAATCATTAAAAAACCATTTACTATTATTTAGAAAAACTTGAGCTGTGTTTGTGTAAGGAAGAGTATAATAGATTTTTTAAATAAATATTTTTGAATTTCTAATTTCATCTTTCGTCCTGCAGCGCCTGACAGCAATATAGACTGGTATGCATCCGGAATCAATAGCTTTTCATGTCTTTCGAAAGAGCTTAAGATAACACATATTTTTTATACATCTCTTGATGTATCTTCATAGCCTATTGCTATTATATGATTTAAAAAAAACACCATGTTAATATATTATTTCAATTCATACTATGACTCCACAAAACAATATTGATTTCTTTGATTTGCGAGTGACTCAAAAACATTGTCTACAAAACAAATAACTTTACAGCTTATATTTGACAAATTTGGAAACACTTTTACCCCAGTTCAATAAAAGCAAGTATTTCGAGGTAATGTTTTAAGCGATGACGCTACAAAACATCCATCGGAAACTATATCGATATTTGCTTACATGGGTCTTTATCACAATTTGCAAGTAAAATATCAATTACTTTACAATTAGTGCTAAGCCTAAAGTAAAAGTTAAGAGTATCTTTTCCTAATTATACAATCAAAATGAAATCTCCAAGTAACAATTCGTCGGTTAAGCGAATGGCCATGCAAATCCTTCGTTCATTCATTCAACATTACATTATATCTATAAAAATCGACAAGGTGATCGGAATTTCTAACCTATTATTTAGTTACCATTTTACTATTACAGTCTGTAATATACATTCATGTAAAATAAAATAAATACTAATTTCATTTCAATAAAGATATTAAGCTGTTTTTTTCCACGAGAAATGAAACAATTTTAGATGTATTACATATATATTTTCATTATGATTTTAAGATTTTACCTATTTCATAGACGATTGCAAAGTAACTACGTCAATTAACTACGTTACTACGCAGATGAAGTAGTAAATAAATTAACGATTATTTATCTATTGTGAGTCTAGTTAAAACAATATTTTAAAATAGAGAAATAGGCCCTAATAATTGCCAAGCATTTTCTTATCTTTTAAAATGTTTTAACCGCACTGGGTTCTATATATGTCAAGCTTTGTGAGTCCAAGATATATAATCAAGACTGATTATGTATCCATTACATTTTGCATATTATTCATCAATTATTATGTATGGTGACTTCATAGTCTAATCAAGCTATTTTTCAATAGCACTTCTCTGTCTGTATGAAAAACAATAGAGAGAAAAAGTCAGCCTTCGCTGAATTTCCTGCCGATTTACTCAGTACAGTGGCCTTCCGCCGTACATTTAGATTTTCGACTTCCATAAGTGCTTGTAACGACCAAAATGTAAATTCTGCTAATCACATTTCAATAGAATCTCAACGATTTACATTGTAGTAACTACCTAAATTCCAATATTAGTGCAATGTTTTCTTCACATATCAATGGTGACAGACATGTATAATATAATAATATTTAACTGCAGGTAAATAGTGCAATGGCAAAATTCAAGTACCAGACATTCTATCGGGATGCAGTTATTGCTGCAAAAAGCCTCAAAGGGCGAAAATATTCAGGTATAAATAATTTGAGCTGTTCGAGGTCGAAACGATGGGTCCATGGGGTCCTGGTGGGCATCAATGTCAGAGTTGAAAATAAACTTTTTGACTGATCTGGTGATCAGAAGTTTGGTTTGTACCTCGCCCAAAGAATTAGTATGGCTCTTCAAAGAGTAAACCCTCGCAGCCTTCTGAGTATCTTACCTGTTGGCAATAATCTGGGGGATATCTTTTATTTTGCATAGTTAAGACATAGCTTAGATAAGTATTTTTTATTTTATAACATAGGTATAAAAGATCTTAAACTAATAATTTAAACATTAGCAGAATTGGTCTGCTAGATTGATAAATTTGAATATTCTAGGTAATTATTATTGCATTCACAATTTATACAATCTAGGTAAGATTAGAACAAGGACTAATAGATGATGGGCCCCCCGGTGATGGAATCGTTGAACGAACATTATTATGCCATAGCGCTTATCTGACAACGATATAACACAATGGGATCGATGAATTATTGAATCAGCTAAGCAGATTAGCAAATCTGTCTCACATATAACATCTAAAATTGGAGAATATTTATTATTTATCCGTGTTGGAGGATTTCCTAAGTGTGGTTAATTATATACAATGGATTTCGTTAAAATAAAAACCATTTAATTTAGGATCACTATTAATTTAATGCGCATTAAATACTTACTGTTTGTATTATATTTTCTGTACAGTAAATTGATCGCCCGATCCATCATTTTGTGTTTGATTATTGCTTGCGTTACAATCTGTGAACAAAAAAAAACAGTTATTAATTAGAATAAAAATCATTTCTGGACGATTCCAAGCGGTCTTTAAATAAGAATTTTTAAAACCTACGGGGTGTTAGACGGGTATATGTATTTCTCCATTTTTAAGTACATATTTTATTTAATTTTAAACATAAATTTATATAATTTTTAAACGGTTTTATTTACCTTACCCCGTTTGTTTCGTTCGTGGTGGGTCAAATTTGGTAATTGAAATTTCATCCTATTTCCGTCAGCTGATTGATCTGAAATTTGGTATACGCCTTTGATTCTGGTGACAATACAATTATGTATATTCAATATTATTGTGAATTCAAGATGGCCGCCGCTACAAAATGGCAGACAACTTATTTTTTTTTAAATCCCATCAATATAGATATCAAATGAAAGTGCATGTTAAGAAGAATACAGTTGATTATACAAAATTAAAATTTAAGATGGCCGCTGCTACAAAATGGCGAATAATGTAGTTTTTTCTTCAATCCCATCAATTTGGGTATCAAGTGAAAGGACTTGTTAAGTAAAACACAGTGCACTATACAAAACCTAACTCAAAGATGGCCACCGCTACAAATTGGCGGATAATATAGTTTTATTCAATCCCATCAATATGGTTATCAAATTAAAGGGCTTAATTATAATACATATGTTATAAACATATGTTAATGTTATAAATTATAATATAGTGCACTATACAAAATCACAATTAGAATCTCCCACCCAAGTCAAGATCTTGTATGTCATGTTGCGGTCCAATATGGACGTTTCAAAGGGGTTAGTAAATGGCGCTATAGGATACATCAACGAAATCGTATTTCGTCGAACTCAGACGTACCTTTGGTTCGAATTGACTTTGAAAGAGACGGCATCTTATACACCCGAAAGCCATACAGTTTCCAGCCAAGTTTAATTACGGGACGGCTGAAAGACGAATGTTGCCCTTAATATTGTCATGGGCTTCCACGGTGCACAAAATGCACGGCAGCACTGTAAATCCCGCAGTCGTATACTTGGGCGCGAAACTATTTGAGGAAGGTCAAGCCTACGTGGCCCTTAGTAGAGTGAGATATTTGGAGGGATTACGTATTGAGCAGTTGGACTGCAATAAATTAACTGGCAAGAAACCTTTCAATAATGAGGCACTCGACGAATTAAATACATTAAGAAATAAAAACTAAAAACTTCAAAATAAAATAAAAAACTTTTAAAGTTAAACGGTTTTATTGGAAACAGAAAATTTTTGCAGATAAATGTTACTAAACGCTAAAAAATAAATGAAAGAATACAATCATGGTTACTGATATGTATACATTGTTACATTTTCAAAATAAAGTAACTCATAAACTACTCGTTTTGTGGAGATATCTATGTTCACATAAAATCCTAACAATGCAATGTATTTATAGACTAATCTAAATTACCTATAATAAAAGACGACGTTTTTGAAATATACAAATTTTAAACATATTATGCATTGATTGGACTAAAATAAAATCGTGGGGCACATTTTTCTGTTTACAATTAAACCGTTTAACTTCAAAAGTTTTTTTTTCATCTCATATCTTTGTACTTCTATTAATTATTAGTTTACCACCCGATTTTCATCTCCTATTTAACCTCCTTAGTGGTTTGAATTTTCAAAATCGATTCTCAGCGAATCTCTATATCGTAATAATTATTAGTGTGCCAAATTTCAGCTCGATCCGTCGAACAGCTACTTTGGTATCAGTCAGTTGTAGAACATTTTTATTAAATGTAAATAATAGTTAAAAGCGCTCAATTGTCCTATACAATGCTCATGAAATATGAAAAAAACTAGAGTAGGATAAAGAAAAGGAACAGCAAAAGAAAATAAAGTCAAATTAGTAATTTTACTCATCTTCTTCTTTTATTAATGGCTTATCTGCTCATTTTGCACAATACTGCCAATGTCAAGTGAATAAATTTATTTCTACACGCAAAATAAAAATGAAATGAATGAAAAATCGCGACGATCTCGCTTTTATTCAAGCTGGAAGTTACGTTATATGATAATATTTCAATGGAGATATTTTCCATGGATATTAGGTAACAATATTTGATCTTAAATGTTTCAAGAAACAATTCAATTGAGTAAATTACATTTTTTACCGCAAATATATTTGAAATTTCAGTATAGCGTATCCTGTAAAGAGTTCAGTATCATGGGCAACTATTTATCACGACACGGTTGAAGAACGTGAATCGTCTACATCTCGATGTTTAGTTTATTATCTAACTCCTTATTTGTTCAAGTCACGTAGCTAATCGCTCTTTTGGGTAGCTATACCGACTTCTGATTTTGAACTCTCTTAGTTGGATGGGACTTGTACTGTCGGGAATACAAATTCTCCGTGATCTCAGGAGATCTCATTGTCAGTTTTTGTGCGAAGAAACTGTCTGAATTAATCAATAAATATAATAAGATATAGATTTGACCTTTAAGAAATAAGTTATTTATTGAAATTTTATAGTTCAAATATAAGCTTGGCATACTCTTTCGTGTACAATTTATAATCAATAATGTTTTCTGACTATGCGTATCAGTTTTGTTTAGATTTCAATTATGTACCTACGAAATTATATGGTAAGGCATCAATTAAGTGTGATGACATCAATGTTTGCTCAATGGCCGGAGTAAAATTTTCAAAGAGTTTAATGGCGTAGTAGCTAGTGTATTCAGTGTGTGATTGTGAATGCTAAGCGGCTTTAACAAATGCCGGCGATTGAATGGATGGTCAAATATCTGCATCAGTAGTCGTGCATAGCCCTTTATTCTGTGAAGAGGCTTGTGTCAACAATAAGAACATTAGAAGGCTAAAGATAATGGTGAATAAAGAGTTGCACAAAGAATGCTAGAAAATCATAATGCTAGAAATCAGTTTACGCGACAGAAAGACAAATTAATGGATCAGAAGAAAGACTGGTCTGAAGGATGGCGGAAACTGGAGGGAAATATATCACGGATGAACATTTATAGGTGGACAAGACGTTTATTAGAGAGGAGACTCCGTCAATTAGGTCACTTGGCCATCCACTCAAAAGATGGGTGGATGATACTAGAAGACACGCAGGTCGTAACTGGTTGGGAAAAGCTCTGCAACGCCAGACATTGAAAGATTTGGAAGAATTCAAAACTGGACACTGATGGACTGACTATGGTAATTTTGGTAATCTGCTTTCTTAGGAAGATTGTTTAATTAAAATCTTTAAAAATAAATTTCCGGAATTACTTATAATGGCTACGAAAACGATTTTGCGAATTGAACAACGATTGTAACATTTTACACAGAACACATGTTCACGGTCATAACTGCCGCTCATGAATTTAATATCAGTAACAAGGTCGCACTAGAAGTAGTTCACAAGGTGTGATTGCTGTTATCGATTTTCAATAGTAATTTGGAAGAAAATATGTTGTAATTTATATGTTAGCGATACGTTTGTAAGTCAACGAATATTACAAAGAGGAATATGTGTGCGTTTGTTATTGAGCTATAATTAAAGGCAAAGTCGCAGGTAAACAGCCAGTATTTAATAAGAATACAATAAGATAAACATGTGTTAATATAGCATTTTCAATGCACAATTGATCAAATACAACAACAGAATGCACTTTTATCTTAATAGAAAGTTTAAAACAATATGAAAAATATCTCTTTTGGTTGGACATACGCTCACTAGTAACAAAGTAATAAGTGCTTTAAAAGTTTGATCAGCCCGCTAGCATCTCGGGTAGCTCAATTGGCTAGAGCAGTCATATAAATAGCGAAAATTCTTTTATCTACGAGAAACTAAAACATATGGACTTGGAATAGACTATAATTTCGCAAAAAATAGGTAGAAATTTAATATACTTGGAGACAAAGAAATGACTTTCAAGAAGATTTTTATACAGTTAACTCGTTTTACTGTATTGTGATTATTTAATAGATTAAATAAGGTGAAAACACAAGTAAAAAATATAAGCATCGTAGCACATTCAAACGCCTTAAGAGTAGCACGACTGTTTCGAAATTTTGATTACTGCTAACTGTCAATAATGAAGTTATGCAATATATTAAATTACTAGTGGACGCCCGCGACTTCGTCCGCGTGGAAGTCGGTATCCCGTGGGAGTGAGAAGTTTTCCCAGTAAAAAGTACCCTATGTGTTATTCTGATGTATAACCTATATTGCTGTAAAGTTTTATCCAAATCCATCCAGTAGTTTTTTCGTGAAAGAGTAACAAACATCCATACATCCATACTTACAAACTTTCGCCTTTATAATATTAATAGGATAGGATACGATATGATCTCTTAAAAGTAATTTTTTATCAACCTAATGTTAATTTATTAAAATAAAATCACTCCCAATTACTCACCATTTATAAACTTCACTTGGAAATTATCATAAAAAAAAACAAAACAGATTCAACTATAAATCTAACCAAAAAAGCACTTCAAAAAGAATTATGTTGCAGATAAATTATTTTCAAATACTGTATTCATTCGCTTACAGTCAATTCACAACTGCTGAAACAATGTTAGTATATCAATCATTATTTAAAACTTCAAACATAAAGGAATCTTGTTTGTTTTTATGAGTAGGTACTATTAATATAAAGTTATCTATTTCTGATTCTTTACGATAAGTTTTATTTTACTCTATGTTTGATACCAATTATACGATAAAAAGGTGATGTTGTTTAGATAAAGTTGTAATAACTTTTTAATTTATGTGTATCGGTCATTTTCAGTTATTGTACAAATCCATTCTTATATAAATGCGAAAGGTTTTATTTCTTTGTGCGTGTCTGTTATGTTTTTGCGCCTAAACTATTGAACTAATTTTAATGAAATTTTGTACACAGATAGAGAGGACCTTGAGAAACGATATAAACTAACAGAATTCTATACGTTCAAAAGCGTGGGTGGAAAACTAGTAACTTATTTAATCTAGTAATATTTCTAATAACGCCCTCCTTTTATTTAAGAATCCTATTACTAGGTTAAGATTATACGGCGAATTAATATTGTATGAATCACTGATACTAAAAGAAGTCCTTGTGAGCGGTTGTGCCGACCTTCTTGTATTTACGACGCGATACTAGAGGATTAAGGTAACGTATCAGGTAACCTTGAAATGTCAAATTTCTTCAGTCTATATTAAGTTATTTGCGGCAAATGTAAACCCTGTTCTTACATGTTTCTTCGTTTCCTATATATTGTACTACGGTAGTCTTAAGTGATATTTCACCAATATTTATAGTGTGTATTTTATTCGAATCAAACTTAAATGAAAAGCAAAAATGGCTTTTCAATTTTTTGTATTCATATTAATAACGTACATACTACACATTTGATTTGACTGCAAATACCCATATTTATAATCGTTGTATTAAAGTTATGTTAGCCATATAAAACGTTCAATTTCTTTCACTTCCCGTATCTGAAAGAAATACTAAAATAGGTCCACATGATTCGAAGCCTATTCAATGTAAAGAGACAAATAATAAAATCTTTCCTATTATAATATAATAGGTAAATTAAATTAATAATATACAGCACATATAGCACCTTACTCGTATTACAATATTTACTTAATATCGTGACGGCACTTCTAAGCAGCAGTTCCACAGCACTACTGAATACATCTCCAAAACTATTAATTGCAGACATGCTGTTACTTCTCAAAAATTAATGGATTACTTATTTATAGAATAATAAAAATAGTCAACTGTTTTTGTTTTGTGTTCGAAGAAGGATGATGGGTAATGATGGGTGGAGTTGACGCTTACGTTTTTCATTTTGTTTTTAATTACTGGCTATACGGATTCTTTCCCAATATGCACACTGTTCACTTGGGGCTGCAGTCGCGACAGAGTTTGTGATCGTTATGTAGCGATCGTCGAGTTCATTGACCGGTCTGTCAAACTCGATCGCAAGGCAACTAACGAATATTGCTAATATGATACATATTTGCACATGGTACTTGCTTCATCATCATCATCAGACCTCTTACGTCCCCACTGCAGAGGCTCAAGCCTTCCTTATGGATGGTGGATGGGCTATGACCCTCCACGCTGGCTCAATGCGGATTGCAGGGTATTAACGACTGCATATGCAGCCGGGACCAACGGCTTAAAGTGCCTTTCGAAGCATGAAGTAGCTCGAGATAATAATTTTTGGTCACCCATCCCGTGACTGACCCTTGCGAAAGTTGCTTAACAACAACGATCGCGGGCCGCGGCACTTATCATCTACGCCACCAAGCTACGGTACTTGCTTAACAAATAACAATACACTTAACTGTAGAGATAATAATAATCGTTAAATTACGATCGCTATGAGTTAGATAACGAATTCGATAAGATTGAGATTGCAAACTGCAATCCCTGGGGTTCTAACGCATAACTTCTACGCTGCCTTTATTACAAAAGCTTATGACGTCATCGCTATTTGGCACTGGCTATGGGAGCGTTATTGCTTTCTCATGTAGTGCAAAGTCATCCGAGGACCAAGACAATTTGATTGAACACTTCAAATTAATGAAAACGGTTATATAATCGGAAAAATATATTCTCTTTTAGGCTAACTATTAAGTTTATAACCAATTGAGAATCTATTTGACAATATGCCTTCATTTATTATAAAAAATATATCTTCTAAGGAAGAGATATTTTTTTAAGGTAATCTACATATATTTTTTGGACGTGTTTTGTCAGTTAATGCTCTATTTTCACGAATAACATGACGAGGGGAATACGCTGTCGATATCATATTAATTCGGAATCAAAACTTTCATAAGGTTATGATTTTTAATAAAAATTTCACT